GCACTGCCTTTTGATAGGCACCCAGAGCTTGTACTCACCTGGTATTTGAGAGCTTATGCTCTATGCTGAGGAAGCATCTGAGAAGTTCTTGACTTTGGAAAATGAGAGTAGACAAAATGATTCCAAAGATACTTGGGGGGGAAGGGGGAGGAGTGTTCTTTATTGGGAAGTGGCTGATTGATGTGTCCAAGCAAACTGTATCAATGAAAATTTTTTTAAAAATGTTCTCCTAAGATTAGAAAGGGTTAACTTAGTAGATTGACCCCTGAAGTTCCAAGATCCTGATCCAGTGGAGCCTGAAGGAAGCCCAAATTTAAAGAGGGGATAGACTGCCCTGCCCCTGCTTAGTGCTTGAACAGCTGGCAAACAGATCAGTTCTGCCAGCTGCCGTCCAATGCAGGCTTAGCTCAGGGCTGCTAATCTCATGTCACCACCCAGTTGTCAGACCTGAACAAATATGGTGTCACTTGTTAGATCCGACATTGATGGAACTCTGAAAAGGGCTGGATTAGGTCTGTCTCAGATCTTTTGTTCCTTCTTCCTTTAGTCTTTGGAAAAAACTTCTGACCGAAGCCTGATCATCTCATACGAGACATGAGGAACCAAGGGTGCAGACAGAGAGACAGGACTAATGTAGGAGCTAGCAATTGAGTGGTCTGCGGTGCTCAGACGTGAGGAGTGGGCCTTTAGGCATTTAAGGAAGAAAGTGGTGAAAACATAATATTTTCATTTTTGTCCAAAGAAAAGATGATTCTGAAGTCCTCCTGTTTTAAGATTTAGTTGAGAGGAATAGAGTTGTTTGTTGGCCTCCATGAAAGGAAGGAAAAGAGATCTTGGCTTTTCATTTCACTCTAAATGACAAGCCTTATTCTAGTCTCTAGAATATCTTACACCCTTGCTTCCTGCTTACATCCAATCTCCTTTCTCTCTTTGCCATGTCTTCACTTCTCACCATGAGTTACAGACCTCAATGAGGTGAGGCCAAGTCTAGTCTGGAGGTCAAAGGATAAGAGGCTTTAGAACTAGAAGGGACCTTAGAGATCGTTCAGTCCAACCCCCTCATTTGACCTGTGAGGAAGCATTTTCAGTGATTTGCCCAAAGTCACACAGCTAGTAAATAAGAGAGCCAGGATTTGAACTCAAGTATAACAAGGATGATCTGATTTCCTGGATGGGGATACCTTTTGTACTCCTTGCTACAGGACTCTGGAAACCAGCAACTCCTGGTTGCTTCTTATGACTGGGAGCTATATGTGCGTCACTTCCCACAGAGCAAAAGTGCACATGCGTAACTCTATGGGAGAGGTGCCAGTCCAGCAGATCAGGGGGCTCTCCAGATTATCCCTATTAGGTATTCTGATGCCAAATCCAGCACCTTTTAAGTAGGGGCAACATATGCCCTGTTTGGCCCTTGAGTTCCAGTGTGAGCCCTGGGGTCAAGACAAGATAGAATAGACCAAGTTCCAACAGCAGGTGATTTCTTCCCTAATGCAGCTGAGCTATGGGAGCACAGCCAGATGATAGCAATGTCTTTAAACTCACAGAGTGCTAGGAGCCATGCTCTCCCTGCTTATGAGTTTGAACTGAGCACTACTGCCCTTGGCTGTAAGAAGAAATGCGAGATTGGATTATTTTAAGGATCATAGGGGTTTGAAAGAAAATTCAGTGAACCTCACTTAGGACAGCTGGGTGGCACAGTGGATAGAGCCTCAAAACACTAGCTGGGTGACCTGGGGCAAATCACTTAACCCCTGTCTGCCTCAGTTTCCTCAAGTGTAAAATGGAGATAAAAACACCACCTAAATCTCAGGGTTGTTGTGAAGATCAAATGAGATAGTAATTGTAAAGTGCTTAGCACAGTGCGTGGTACATAGTAAGGGCTATAGAAATGCAGCTTCTTCTTCTTCCTCTTCCTCTTCCTCTCCTCCTTCTCCTTCTCCTCCTCCTTCTCCATCTTCTTCTTCTTCTTCTTCTTCTTCTTCTTCTTCTTCTTCTTCTTCTTCTTCTTCTCCTCCTCTCCTCCTCCTCCTCCTCTTCCTCCTCCTCCTTCTCTTCCTTCTCCATCATCTTTTTCTTCTTCTTCTTCTTCTTCTCTTCTTCTTCTTCTTCTTCTTCTTCTCTTCTTCTTCTTCTTCTCCTCCTCCTCCTCCTTCTCCTCTCCTCCTCCTCCTCCTCCTCCTCCTCCTCCTCCTCCTCCTCCTCTCCTCCTCCTCCTCCTTCTTCTTCTTCTTCTTCTTCTTCTCCTCCTCCTCCTCCTCCTCCTCTTCCTCCTCCTCCTCCTCCTTCTCCATCTTCTTCTTCTTCCTCTTCCTCTCCTCCTCTTCCTCCTCCTCCTCCTCCTTCTTCTTCTTCTCCTTCTTCTTCTTTGTTCTTATGGTTAAACATATCCTTCCCATTCCTTCATCCTACAAATCATCAGACCCCATTTGGCATGTTGTATTCAGTTTTGGGCAGCATCATTTAAAGGACATTGCTAAATTAGAGAGTAGTCATAGAAGGGCAATGAGGATGGCAAAGGACCTTGAGTCCGTGCCTTGTGAGTATGGGTTGAAGGTAATGGGAATGCTTAGCCTGCAGAAGAGTAGACTCAGAGAGGATATAATAGCCATGTATCTGAAGGGTTGTCATTCTGTCATCTGAAGGGCAGGAGGGATTAAATTTAATCTTTTTGGCCCCAGAGGGGAGAACAAGGAACAATGAACAGAAATTACTGGAGCAAATTAAGGCTTGATGTCAAGGGAAATCTTCCCAGCAAGGAGAGCTGTCCATCTGTGCAATGGGCTGCCTCAAAAAACATCCTCCTTGGATGTTTTAAGTAGAGACTAGACAACCACTTATTGAGTATGTTATAATGGGGGTTCCTTTTGTGACTCAGTTTGACTACATGGCCTTCCAATTTTCAGATTCTATGATTATAGCTTCTAGTCCTCTCTCCATTCCACTTGTCCTCTGGGCTTGTTCCAGTTTGTCAATGTCCTGCCTAAAAGGCGGTCCCAGAACTGATCACAATGGTATAGATGGATTCTGGCTAGGGCAGAGGAGAACGGGACTGTTGCTGTCCTTGTTCTGGACACGTGCTCTTTTCAGGGCTAAGCTGAGGGGCCACTTCCTCCATGAAGCCTTCACTGAGTTCTTCCTGGTTGTTAATGTCCTCCCACCTTTCAAATGTGCTTATATTTACTCTCTGTAGAATAGGGACTCCTTGAAGGTAGGGAGGGTGTTTCCTCAGATACATTTTAGATGCTTGATAAGCATTTATTGAAGGGATGACTTATTGGATAAGGTAGAGAGAAATGAAGGAGTAGTCAGGAAGAGAAATAAAAGTGATTTAAAAAGAAGTTCTCAACACATTTGTTTAAAAAAATTAAATAAATGAATCCATGTAGCCTGAGATCATAATGAGCATTTTTTTGGCTGCTAAGTTATACTGTTGATTCATCAATCTTGCAATCCAGTAAGAACCCCAAATCTTTTCCCTAGTTCCTCCTTTTAGACCTTGTATTCATGTGTTTGATTTTGTTGAACTCACATGTAGGACTTTGCGTAATGACTAGAGTGCTGGATTTGTAGTAAGGCAGAGGGCTCGGATCTTGCTTCTGACACTAGCTCTGTGACCTAGGGCAAGTCACTTAATCTCTTTGCCTCAGTTTCTTCATCTATAAAATGGGGCTGATAATGCCAGCAATAGTCACTGCATTGGGTTGTTGTGAAGCTCAATCCAAACCAATCCAATAAGGCATAATTAAGCATTTACTAAGTACCAGGGACTGGGGGGATAAAAAAAACAGTCCCTGCCCTCAAACTGCTTACATTTCATTTCAAATACTATATTTATATGAGGATATAAGATCTCAAACAAGATAATATATGTAAGTACTTTGCAAACTTTGTATTACTATATAAACATGAGATTTGTTGAGCAGAATGGAGACAACAGCTACAGGTTCCCAAGAACCAGTCCTCTTAGTCTCCTTTGCTAAATAGAAACACTGAGTCTGAGCTGCTGGTATTCCTTACCTTACTTCCCTGAAGCACGAGGTAGTCTTCTGAGAGCTTTTTTGTTTGTTTTTGGGTAGGCAATAGGGTTAAGAGACTTGCCCAGGGTCACACAGCTAGTAAGTGTCAAGTGTCTAAGGTTAGATTTGAACTCAGGTCCTCCTGACTCCAGGGCTCGTGCTCTATCCGTTGTGCTACCTTGCTGCCCCTTTCTGAGAGCTTTTGAAAGCACCATTCCCTTCTCCTCCTCAGCTTCCCAGTGGACTGCCTCATCCCCCCACCTTGATGAGCCTCAGAAGGATTCTGCCCCCTCCCTCTTACTCCAGTATCTCCCAGAAGGGGGAGATCCCTTAGGACAGACTGATGTGGTTTTTCAGTTCCATCCTGGCTTCAGTTTAGGGCAGGGCCATGAGAACCCTGGTATTTTCCTCACCTAATAAGAGTTATTATCAAACCTTTCAGCCTTCCATCAGGGGACATCATAATGTTCTTTTTATAGCCTAAAACACCCCACTGGGAAGTCTGAACCAGAGAAAGCAGTTGCCCAGGAGAGACGGGAGAATTGTTTTTACCCAGGCCAAAGGAAGCACTGACCTACATCCCAAAAAAGAAGCACTTTGTGTTTCCCATCCAGCTTCTATGTTTTCTCTGAAGGCAGCAGAAGAACCTCATCCAGCAGCCCTAAGCTGGGTGTTTTTTGCAGCCAGGCTACTGGGTTTGAATTTGGGTGGGGGTGGGGGAGCCCTGGAAGATGATAACAGAGTAGCTCTTTTCTCTTCCTGCGTGGCACCCCCATCTGTTCAAAATTTCTCTTCCAGCATGGGCTAGGCTACCAGGTGTCTGTCTCTCAAAAAGCTTCAGGCCAAGAGGGAGTGAGGGAAGCCATTCCTTCCCATCTTCCCCCTCCTCCCCAGCAGCTTCCCCACATCCTCCTTGACACATCCTGGCTTACCACCAGCCACTGACAGTCGAGGGCAGTGACCAGATGACAACAAACTGCCTTTTCATTTTCCTTTTTATTTTACATTAAAAATTGCTTATTGCTCTAACAGTACCGGAGGTAAAGACCTCTTCCCTAAGGAGCCTTGGCTGCAAGCCCCGTTCAGCAAGGATGGAAGTCACAAGATGAGGGAGATGGAGAGGCTCTTCTCTTGGTGGGTGGGGAAGCCCTTGATGTGGAGGGGCTCAGCCTTTCACTCCATTTCCACCTCCCCTGGTCACCCGTTTGAAAGTGAATGGGAAAATGAGGTGGTGGCTGATCTCAGCTAGTGGGAGCCTGCGGATGGGGGGTGGGGATGGCAGGGTGGCACTGTCACTGCTTGCAGCAGCTAGAGGTGCTATGGCCTGGGTGCTGGTGTTCTTTCTTGGATCTCAGGGTCCCATATTCATTCTCTGGTAGCAGGTGTGGGGACCAGTCTTTCTTCATGTCATGATTCTTCATGAGTTGGGAAGATGAGGCTTTTTATACCACCTTCTAATTCTCCCTCTGTCACTAGTCTCTTCTTAAGCATCCCTCCTCGCTAGAAAGAGGCAGTAGGGAGATCTTTCCTAGCCGAACTCTCCTAAGGACCCAGAGCAGCATATAAGGTCTCCATTGGCTTTCATAGAGTCCTGAATGAGATGGTGAATTGATGAAATGCCCAGAAGAGAGAAAGTGGCCAGGCCTTCCCTGCCCTACCTGTCTTGGTGCTCAATCAGCTGGAGAATTTATCAGTTCTGCCAACCCTCTTTGAGCAGGATCAGCTCAATGTCAGGATTCTCCCATAACCACCCAGGTGTAAGATGTGAACAGATAATGGTGACACTTGTTAGATCCATCATTGATAAAACTCTATCAGAGATAGGGTCAGGTTCCCCTTTCCCTTCACTGCTTAAGGTCTTCTGAAAATGATTCTGACCTCACTCTCATCATCTCATACTAGACACAAGGAGCCAAGTTGATGCAGGGCATAGGAAGACAGATAGGAGAATGAGTGATGAGAGGTGGACCAGGTCCCATGGGGGCATTCTCAGACTCACTGGAACAGAGTCTAAGTGTCATACACATCATCTTGGAAATTGTGCATCACACTCAAACCAACCAGAGTTGATAATGGCTGGATGAGAAGAAGCAGGGAGGCAGCTGCGTCACTGCCAGCTTGTAAGCCCTACCCTTCCCTGTCAAGTTATTTGAGGAACATGGCTTATCTAGGTTCTTGGTGCTTTCAGTCCAGCGGGCATGGATGCAGAAAGACTGAAAACATTGTGCATTTACCAAAAGGGGAAAGTGGTCTGGGAAAGAGAAGGCAAAACCAAGATTGGCTTGTATGGGCACTGTGTCAGAGGTGCTATGGTTCTGTTTAGAAGATGCTAATAGCTGGTGATTGGGCTTGTTTTTTTAAATCAGGATTTTGAATTTTTTTAAAGTTCAGTTGCCTTTTCCATTGTAGGACAAGGAGGTGGAAGGCAGGAATGGAGGTGGAAGGCAGGAGTGGAGCATGCAGCCAGCTAAGTACTTTCCCAAACCATGGAACAGTCCTACCTCTCTCTGCTCCCAGGGCTTTTTGGAGTGGGGTACAGGGAGGTAGAGGGAAAAGGAAAGAGAAATGTTGGTTGTCTCCCTGCAGAAAGCCAGTCACACTTCAGTGATGGTCATAAAGAGCTTAGATTTGGGAGGTGGGGAGAGAGAAATGGGAGAAATTGCCAAGCCTAGTTAGTAGGCTTGGAGCTGGTGAGAAGTCAGAGGTGGAGTACCTATGGGGGTGATGCGAACAGGCTGCCCTTGTTGAAGCCTGGACCTATGGGCCTGGAAAGCTGGGAACCAGCTGGAGTCTCCTGATTGTTCCCCAGCCTCCTGTTTGGCCTGTAACCTCCCCCAGTTTCTTGGGTGCCCAGGGACAATGAACATCACCCCTCACTACAATCTTTCCAACTGGTCCTTGGTGTCTTGGAGCTTCAGCGTACCTATGACAACTAGATCCATTGAGAGGATTTTTGGAGCTGGTGAGTATGGAGATAGATAGAGAAAGAGAGGGAGAGAGAGACACACACACACACACACACACACACACAGAGATGCTGCTTCTCAGGGAAAGCACACTGGAGAAATAAATGCTGGAAGCAGGGACTGAGAAGAGGAAACCCAACTCTGGGGGTAGGGAGGTGAGAAGGCTGATAGTGTAGAGAGAAGAAGAGATAGAGAGGACCAGGAGCTGAATGACCATCATCAGAACAACGATCCTCTAGTTCTGTTCTTCCCAGGTGCTCAAAGCCCATTGAGTAGGTAAGAGGTTTTCATATCTGTTTTATAGAGGGAATAAAAGCCCAAGCATGGTAAGTGACTTGCCCAAGGTCATGCAGTCAGGCAGAAGCTTTCCCAAACTGGTACCTCGTCCAACCAAAAATTCTTTTCTCCTTCCCTTCTCCTCTTCCTCTTCCTCCTCCCCCCCTCCCTTCAATAGCACTGGCCTTTGGCACCCCGAGAAAGGAGAGGATCCAAAATTAATTGGGAGATTCCCCTGGGACATGGGCTACAGCCAAGCTGGTCTCTGTCCAGCTGTAGCAGCGCCAGGCTCCGAGATGACCCTGGGGACATCCCCACGAAGGTGAACGGGGCCAGCTGAGGCCCACTTTTTCCCCCCCCATCAGGCCCCAAGGGCACCCTCACCTTGCTCCGCAGGAGGCCCCCGCCCTGGCGCTCTGGGGTGCTGTTCTCCGAGGCGCTCTTGGCTTTCTCCTTGCTGTTGGGTTCGTTGTCCTTAATGATGTCATACTGGCGACAGAAGAGGGCGATGACACCTGGAGAGGTGCGGGCTGAGGTTAGAGCCAGGGTCTCAGCTGTCAGCCCGAGGGACACTCTGTGTGTGTGTGTGTGTGTGTGTGTGTGTGTGTGTGTGTGATGGAGTGTTTTCTTGTTACTCCTTCTCTTCCTCCCCCCAGTTAAGAGACCCTGCTTGAGCAGTCTCAGGACACTTGGATGGTGACTTCTGGAGAGTGGTCTGCTTTTGGGGATAGGGGAAGGAGAAGCCTAGGGCCAAAAGGGAGAGAAAGCTGGAGGCAATAGGGCCAAAACCCTTGCAAGTGTGCATCTCCTAGCCCAGATGTAGTAGCAGCCAAAGACCCATGGCTTTGGAGTCAAAGGAAAGATTAGACAAAGGATCAGGGGCCCGGGCCCCCCCAGGGGTGTCCTGGGAAGAACTTCACACAGCATTCTGGTGCCCTCTCTCAGAGATCGCCACTAGCATCACCACAAACTCAGCCTTTCTATGCTTTCTGGTATATTAACTCTTTCTTTATGAATATAAACTCCTTGCTAGCAGAGACTGTTTCTTTTTTTGTCTTATATCTCCAGAACCTAACACATGAATAAATGCTCACTGAATTTAATTGAATGGAATTGATAACTCTATGAGGTGGGTAGTACAAGTGTCCTTATTCTCATTTTACAGAAGAAGAGACTGAAGCAGAGGAGAGTGAAGTGACTTACCCAAGGTCATCTAACTAGCAAGTCTAAGAGCCAGGTTTTGAGCTCAGGTCTCCTGACTGAGCCAAGGCTCTTTTCAGGATAACACACTCCCCTCGCATCCCTAGTCTCAGGCTCCTTCCTTTCCAAAGCAGAGGGGCCCTAGAGTGAGAGGTTTAGAGGGGGATCCTGAATGACCATAATGTAGCCAAAGGGAAGAGGGGGTCCAGCCTTCCAGGCTCCCCCTGCCTGGGACCAGAAGGCTCACCCGCCCACATGAACAGGACCACCACGATGATGAGCACCTCGCCTGTCCGAAGCTGCTGGCTCTTCATTCCCATCTCCTTCATGGTCACCTCATCTGTAGGGGAGAGGGAGGAACGCTGAACCCCAGTCGTCACCCCACATGTCAACATGCCTTCCTGCCTGTGGGGGCAAATCCCCTGCCAAAAGGCCCGGCTCTCTGGAAACCACCTCTTCACAGGAAGTCACCAATGGCAACTTGAGAGATTTGTTTCAGAAAGCCCCTTGGAGAACAGGGCTGTCAGTATCAGATGGGGAGAGGGGACATGCCTTGCCCAAAGTCAAACAGGAAACAGCAACTGAATTCAAACTCAGCCCTCCTCTGTCTCTAAGCTCAGTGCTCTTTCAGCTTTCGGACTTAGTGGTCTCCTTATACTTCACAGGAGTAAGAATGACTGGCCTCCAGAGTCTGTTATCCCAGAGGTACCTGGTGGTGCAGTGGATAGAGCACTGGGTCTGAGGTCAGGGAGACGTGGGTTCAAATTCAACCTCAAAAATTTACTAGCTATGTGACCCTGGGCAAATCACTTCATTCTCTCAGCCTCAGTTTCCTGAACTGTAAAATGGGGATAATAACAGCATCTACCTCCCTGGGTTGTTGTGAGGATCAAATGAGAGGATATTTTGCAAAGCACTTAGCACTGTGCTTGCCACATAGTAGGCTCTTATACAAATGCTTGTTTTTTCCCTTCCAGCCCCATCCCTCACATTGTAACAGAGCTGGAGCCCTATCTGCAAGTTTCTCAAACCTTGGTCCCCACTGACTAGAGTGCCTCCCAGAGGGCCTTTAAGGGAATTCAAGGCTGAAGAACACGAGGCCACATTCTGAGTAAACTAGTCACTCCTCCAGCCCCCTCCCTCAGCTTCTCTTTCCCTAACCCTGGCCCTTGAGCTCCTGCCTTTGTTTTTGGAGGCCAACTTCTCTGCCTCTCGAGGGGTCTTGAAGGTGACAGGCTCACTGGCAGGGCTCTGGCCCTGGATGGAGATGGCCTGCACATGAACGATGTACTCTGTGTCCTCCTCCAGGTCCCACAGGGCACATGAACGGGTAGAAGTGTTTACCTCCTGGATAAATCGCAGCATCCGCACATCTTTCTTCTGCAATAGCAAAGGCCAGAACCCCTGTACAGACCCTCTCCACTCTATTTCCTCCTTCTCTCTACAAGCTGCCTCCAATCCTGCTGTCCAGTCCATGCTGCCCCTGCTTCCTCTGACCCCTCTCTGCTCTGTCTGCCCACCTCCTCTAGGCCCTGTCCATGCAGCCCCACACTGCCTCTGGCCCCCTGTCCTCCCACTCCATGAAGTCCCCTACTCATACTGCTCTCCACTGCTTCCTCATTTTCTACATTGCCACCCCCTTGCCCAGTATTCCACTGCCTCCAGTTTCTGTCCATTCCTTTCATCTCACTGCAACCAGCTTCTCTCCATGCAACCCCACTTCCTTTCATTGTTTCCAACCCCTTATCTATACCCCAACAGCAGCCCCACCCTCACACATACCCAGTCACTTCCTCATGACAACTGCCCAGTTCTTACCATGCATTCTTCCCTCCCCACAACATGCCACCTGCAGTCCCAGTCTCTGTGACTGAAAGAAGTCCATTGATGCAACCCCATGCAACACACTTCCCCTTCCTCCTTCACACCTTCTTCACACCTTCCTCGCCCCGCCTTACCCCAGGTTTGATATTACCTGCTGAGAAATTGCAAACCCAATGACCACCTCGTCGTCCAGCACATCCCAGCTCACCATCGCTGAGTTGGCCGTCAGTTGTCTGACCGTGACATTGACTGGGGCAGAGGGGCTGTCTGCAGGGGGAGGCAGGATTTGAGACCAGAATGAACTCTGAAGCCCAAGGTGCCTGATAAGCAGGTGTGGGCAGAAGGAGAAGTTGAGCTTCCCCTCCCCCCAGATCCTGGGTCTCTGAGGTCCCTCCCCTGCTGGCCTGGGTCTAGCTGAATGGTGGCTGGAATCAGGACTAATGAAAGCCAAGGTGCGGAGCACATAGTCCTCTCCCTAACCTCCTTCAGGACCTCTCTCTGGGGAGCTTATTGACTCATTATTGCCCTCTCACCCAGCAATGAACCAAGACTCATGTACACATACAAAGAAAGAAACTGAAGAGCAGGGTGCATCAACAACATGTAATTATATTTATTTATTTATTTAAGGCAATTGAGGTCAAGTGACTTGCCCAGGGTCACACAGCTAGTGAGTGTTATGTGTCTGGGGTCAGATTTGAACTCAAGTCCTTCTGACTCCAGGGCCAGTGCTCTATCTACTGCACCACCTAGCTGACTCTGACAACATATAATTATTATATGGATACAGGGCAGAGAAGACCAGGTCCTAGCTCCCAGGTTGGCAGATAGTGGTAGCCATTGGCCTGAGTTGGGAAAGGTGAAAGCTATTTGTCAGTAGTGGTGGTCTCAGTTTAGTTTTGTTGAAAATCACAACCAACTCAGCCTATCTGAAGAGTCACCTTCCACTCTGTTTCTAGCTCTAGCATAAAGAAGAGGAGGGGTCCCGTGTTTTTCAAGTTTCCTTCCTCCACCCTTTAGTCAAGGGTGAGAACCAGAGTCTACTAGTGGGGAAAATAGATCTGAACCCGCTTCATCATTGATGGATTTTCTCTAGGGTTGGATGGAGGCTAAGTTTCCTGACCTTGATAGGAAGACAGTAGGACCCAAGAGCAACTAAGTCCTACTTTCCTCCCCTGGCACTTTTGGATGGACAACAGGGCAAGAGTTTCTGGACAGGACAGAGGTCAACTGTACATTAGGGCTGGGGACACCCTTCCCTGAGACGATGAAAGTGAGAGGCTCACTTTAGTGAGAGACTCAGTTCCACCACCCTATAAAGCTGTTCTCAGGGTAGGAGTCCAGAAGAATGGGGAGAGAAAAGCCTATTAAGTCTGGGGGAACACAATACTAGGAAGAACCTTTAGGTCTGCCACCAGTAGATTCTTCTTTCCCAAATTTGACATATTGAGAGCTGAGGTAGGGCAAGAAGAGGAATAGCAGGAATAGAATTGAGATACTGAATATTGGAAGGTCCCTGATTGGAGCCCATCCCTCAGACTTGATCCTTAATGGGGCACAGAATAAGTGAAGGACTGGATAGGTCAATGTTAAGGTGTAGGTCAAGAAGATCCTTCTGAGAGGAGAAAAGCAGGGATAAAGATGGAGAGAGAGAAAGAATCGGGGAAGATTAAGAAAAAGGAAAAGAGAAGGGAGAGGTAAATGTTAAGGGGGGAAAGAATAGTATGTAAAGGTAAGGGAGAAGACAAAGGTGGGAGTAAGAGATTGGTGAGGGGCAAGTAAAAGAGGGAAGACATGTCCCCTATACTCTTTTGTTCTCCCTTTGCCTCCTAAATACCCCCTTAATACTCATCATTTATTGTGGGTTAAGTGTTAGAGGGTAAAGGTAATGGGGAGGGAGGTTTGGTAGGGTTAGGGCACAGTGATTAGAGGAATCCAAACTGGGGGAGTTCTCACCCTGCCCCAACCTCCTCCCAGACAGAAGGAATGGAGACATCAGGGATGGAGAGACAGAAAGATGGACTAGGAAACATGAAGACAAAGCACCAGAAACAGAGATGGAGAAAGAAAAACAGATACTGAGAAATAGGATTAGATAAATGCTGGAGAGATAGGTATAGAGGTTGAAAGTCAGAAAAACGGAAGCATAGAGTCAGGAGACAGGGGGAGAGACAGAGGCAGGGAGAGAAAGGGAGACAGATGGGAGAGAATCATCAAAGCCGGGGGACAGACAGTCTTGCATGTGTGTGTGACATTTTCCTTGATATAATCACTGGGTGAAATATTTCTTCTTTCCAAACTACAGGTACCAACTCATCTCGAGCATCTCTGCCTAACACACATACCCTCAACCCTTTGCCCTGTTCCAGGCTCTCAGTCCTGAAGAATTCACTTGAAGGCGTGTTTCTGTGTTGTGCTGTGCTCTGTATGTGTGTTTGAATACTTTGCAAGTGGGGGGAGGGTTGGGGAATGTAGATTGAGTTTATACCTTAGGGCTGGGGGGAGGGGAGAAGAAAGGGCACAGATGGGGCACCAAAGACTAGTCCTATGTTCTCTGCTACCACTCCGGTTGCTCCCTCGTGGGCTAGAGAGAGGGCCTTGGGCAGCCTGGGGAGACCAGTGTCCAGACAAGAGGGGCTCAACGGGAATGTAAGATGGTAATCAGCGGACTGAAAGATTTGGAGGGCAGTGGTGAAACATAACAGATCTGGAGTTAGGGGCACAAAGGTAGGGAAGGGGACCGACAGGGCCTGGGAAATGAGGGGTTGGAGAGGTGAGGGACAACGGTTAAGTGTGTTGAGGGACAAATTGGGAAGGGAAAGATTGGGCCTGGGGGACAGAGACCTGGAAGTGAGGGTATTGGAAGACGGGGAGTTAGGGGTGGAGGACGTCGGGCTGAGAAATGGACAAGATGGTGAGGGGGATTGAGGGGCAGTCTGCAAAGAGAACCCCCTACCCGTCTTTTCTTCCTCTCTCTGATTCCCCGGCTCTTCACCCCCAAGGGCAAAGCTTGGCTCTTCCTCCCAGTAGAATCCTCCCGGGAGTTAACCCTATCGCTTCCACAGCCCTCCCGCCCCCGGTCCCGACCCTGAGGCCCCCTTACCCGCCTCCACCAAGCACAGGCTGGCGGAGCTGAGGCAGAGCAGAAGCGTGGCGGGGATGTAGAGCAGGGAGGCGTCCGCTGGCCGGGCCGCCCGCATGGCGGCTCCTCCCTCCGTCCTCCCCGCCGCCTGCTCTGGGACTCAGGGCCGATGGCGCGCCGCCGCCTTCATTTCAGAACCGCGGACAGCGGCTGCGGCCCCTGCTAGCCCCAGAGGGCTGGCGCTGCTCCTTTCGCTGCGCTGACGGCTCGGGCTCGGGCTCTAGCTTCGGCTCCGGGGACGGGAGGGGCGGGCGCCCCCGCTGGAAGGAGGGAGACACAGAGTAGGGGCTGGGCTGGGCCGGGACAGCGAGGGTCCCCCGCTGTTCGGTCCGGCGCCCCCTCGGTGGCCGGACAGCGTGGTTACCTGCGCCGTGAGCCTGGACGGGCACAGTAGCTGCCTGAGGAGTGGCAGAGGAAGCCAAAGGCTCGGTGGCTGTCCCGGCGGGGCCAGAGCCGAAAGGGGGTGGAAGAGCACTGTGCACCCCGCCCCCGGCCCCGCCCCTCACCTCCCTCCTCCCCTGCAGCCCCTGCTTTCCTCCCCAGTCCAATTAACCAGTACTCTCCTTCCGAGACGTAGAAGAGCCTCCTGACCTCTCCTTGAGACCCTCAGTTCTCATCATCTCCCTCATAACCTCAGTTCCACGATCAGTCCCTGAGTTCCACCTTCAGGACTTCAGTGCCCCTCAGCCCATTAGTCACCTGAATACCTCAGCTTAGCTTCCTCAGTAGCTTCAGTTCTTCAGCCCTTCAGGCCCTCAGTATTTTCATGACCTCAGCCCCTCTAGTCCCTTTGGTCCCCTCCACCTCATTCCACTTCCCACCATTCGCTCAAACTCCTCAGTCCTTGAACCCCTCATTCCCCTCCCTTACTTAGTCCCTTCAAACTTCTACTACCTTACCCTTCCCAGTTCCTCAGAACCTTCAGCCTCTTTGTTCCCCTCTCCTGCCTCCTCTTAGCTCCTTACCCACAAAATTCAGTGTCCTTGGAGCAATGACTTTGCCCTCTCCCCTTACTCATCTGTGTTTTTTCCAGAGTGAGAGGGAGAAAATGGTGCCAATGGTGGGGGGAATGACTTCTTGGTTTAGTACCCTCTAAAGCTCCCTTGGCTCCTTTTAACATACCTCCCCCCACCCAGGCCCATGCATTCAAAAACGACTGTTTTTGATACAGGTGAAACCCACACTCCACAAACAACCATGAACCCCCCTGCTCCTTAATCCCCCCCACATATACCAGATGCTTGGCCTCTGAGTGTGGTCAGAAAGAGGCAAATGGAGGTGGTGCTGAGAGGGGAGACAGTGTTCTGGGGCCCCTGGTTTCTGAGGGGCTACAGTCCTCCAGAAAGATACTATGATGCAATAGGAAAAGAATGAGATTTGGAATCAGAAGTCCTGGGTTAAAATTCTAAATCTGCTATCTAATTACCAGAGTGACCTTGGGTAAGTTGCTTCCCCTCTCTAGACCTCAGTTTTCCTCTCTGTAAAATGAGGAGGTTGGTCTAGATAAAGTTTAAAGCCCTTTCCAACTCTAAATCCTCTGAACTATGAACAGTTTCACCTTAAAAGGGCTAGGTGGCATAGCAGATAAAATGCTGGGCCTGGAGTCAGGAAGATGAGTTCAAATCATATCTCAGACACTGTGCAGTCCTGGTTCTTTGTCTCATTTTTTTTCCACGGTTAAAATAGGGATAACAAAAACATCTACTTCCCAGGGTTGTTGTGAAGATCAAATGAGATAATATTTGTAAAGTGCTGAGCTCAGCACCTGGCATATAGTAGGCACTTAATAAATGCTTGTTCTTTCCCCTTCTCTCCCTGAAAGTTGGAGCCAAGTAGCTCCTGGTTCCCCCCACCCCAGCTGTCCCATATCTAGCCAAAATACAGGATAAGATTCCCCCAAGTCTCCCAAAGGCCTCTGTTTTTAGGGCCATCCCCCTCCTCTCTCAGTGGCTGTTTCCACATATGCTGAAAACAGCAAGGAGCTTCCCCACTTACTCCTACCTCTGCCTTTGATTTTGTTTGAATCTCTAGGCTTTGTAGGGTCTGGAGGCTAAGGATGCCTGGTATCTCCTCTGGAGAAGAGGGCAGCTCTTCCCAAATCCCTAAAGCACAAAGAAGCTCATGGATGAGGATGAGTTTGCTATCACCAGCATGGTTTGATCTAAGGAATGGTCATTCCTTCCTCCTGCCTCCCCAATATTACAGCACCTGATATTTCACCATTAGCTATTCATTTCTTTGGGTTATGAAAGCTTGCTGGTTTTCCAGGGTCTGCACACCTTAGACTTATAGGCCATGTGATCTAGAAGACAACTTAGAAATAATCTTATGAAATTCCTTCATTTGATAGAGTTGGATAAGAGCCTGAGACAAGAAGGGGCAGTTTTCTTATCTGAAGTCAGGGGTGAGAGTATTTATACTCCTGGCTTCAATGGAAGAAAAAGCACTTTGAGAACTTCAGAGTGCCTTGAAAATGGGAGTTATTAACACTGATATTAATTATAGTCATGTTATCATTATACCCCAAGGCCACATCCCAAGTCTAGGAGAGAGCTAGGAATAGAGCTCAGGTTGGAGTACAGTATTTTTTTTTTCCAGAGGAAGGGAGATATGCATCCCATTATCAGAAAGTGGAGGGGTATGGGTCAGGAGCTAGGATGAATTATTTAGGAAGGAGCGGTGCTCAGGGATGGCGAAGAACTCACTGAGAGAGGCAATGTTTTGTTTAGGGTCAGGGCCCTGGGAGTTGGGTGGGGGTGGCGGGAGAAGAGAAGGGAAGGAGGAGAGCAATGGCGGATAGTAGGCGCCTACACTGAGAACGTTATCTAGGCCCAACCCCACGTTCCCACCACACACCTTTTTCCTGGTGGGACGTCTAACCTGGTCTTCTGTTCCCCAAGTCCGGAGCTGGGCTCTGGGTTCCAGGCTCTAAACTCCAGGGTCTGAGCTCAGTCTGACTGTCTCTCTCCTCAGTCTCTCTCTTGTCCTGCAGCTGTCGCCTCATCCTCCTCTGACACCCCCTTCTACTCAGCCCCGCCTGCTGTACCCCCTGCCAGCAGGAACCCTGAAGGGGGGCTGACAAGAAGGGGAAGTTTGGAAGGGGGTGGGTAGGGGACTGGGACAGCTGAATCAGGCCCAGGCTTCAACCTGAAGAGCTGGGCAAACAGGGTCAGCAAGAGGTCAGTGCTTTTGTCTCAGCCTCCTGTTCCAGCCTGGGGAAGGGATCAGAGTGGAAGCAGATGTCCAGTACTGCCCTGGGGAGGCACGGTGCTCAGCTGCCACCTACTGGCCTCTCAGAACTACGGTCATACACACTGCTGCAGGAGTCAAACACATTTCAGAGTTGGGGGGCCCTTAGAGATCATCCAGCCCAATCCCCTCCTCTTACCAGCAATATGAATATGACTACTTACGATGCTAATTAAGCTAGCATTTATGTAGTTTAAGGTCTGCAAAGCACTTTACGTGTGCTATTTGTTTTGATCCTCAAGAACAACCCTGTAAGGTAGGTGCTATTATTATGCCCATTTTACAGATGAGGAAACTAAGTCTGGAAGTGGTTAAGTGACTTGCTCAGCATTACATAGCTAGTAAGTGTCTCAGATCTTCCTGACTCCAAGCCTAACACTCTGTCCATTGCTCCACGTAGCTGTCTAATCCACTAGTGACATTTCTATTTCTATATAACACAATAAGATCTACAAAGTCTTTTTCTTTATTAAAACTATGTTGGGCAATGCTGGCATTATTATCCCCATTTTACTGACAAAGAAATTGAGGCTCAGGAAAGTGAAACAACTTGTCCATGGTCACATAGTCATTCAGTGGCAGAGCTGGAAACAAAAACCCTAGTTTCCTGATCCTAAGTCTAGTTGTCTTTCTACTACATCATTTTACTGGTGCTCTAGAAGCCAAGTCTTCCAACTTCTGATCCTGTGTTCTTTTCTCCGTAATGCGTGGATGGCTCTCAGATTTAGAATGGTGGAGTTCAGAGGAAAGTCTATAGCAGAATGGATTTGATCTGCTCCCCAACCTCAGCCAGATTAGGATGCTTCCATGCCTCTCCAGATCTGATTTCCATTTTAGACTTCCTCCCTCTCTCCCTCCCTCCCTTCTGTCTTTCCTCCCTCCCTCTCTTTCTCTTTCTTTCTTTCTTTCTTTCTTTCTTTCTTTCTTTCTTTCTTTCTTTCTTTCTTTCTTTCTTTCTTTCTTTCTTTCTTTCTTTCTTTCTTTCTTTCTTTCTTTCTTTCTTTCTTTCTTTCTTTCTCTTTCCCAGAGTAAAAATACCTGCTCTGTTTTTCTGAACTGACTCAGTTCACTCCATATTAGGCAGCCAGGGGATGACTACTTTTGGTTCAAGGTACCCTGTCTATCTGAACTCCTAAAAATCAGACCTCCTGAGCCTTCACAGATGTGTTTACCTTTAATAGTCACATTAGCTCAAGGCAAAGGCATTTACTGAAATGGGATAGTATGGATAAGAGCAGTATAATATCTCCTCCTCCCCTTCCCCATCAACCTGGTGTACACTCTCCCACAGACACACAAAACATAAGCAGGGAAAATGAGCATATACTGAGGTCATGAGTACCTAGGCACATATGGTCAAGACATGTTTAAGGAGAGAACATTTATGCCATCCAACACAGCAGGGCTGCTAATGTACTTACAATGCTTCTGGTTTCAGTCTCTACTCTACTATGGATGTTAGTTTTCACTGTCTTCAGCTAATGGCTCCCCTGAAATACCGGCTTGTGCTACTGCTATGTACTTTTAGAAAGAACTGGAAACTATACTCTAAGATAAGAGTTCTTAAAATTTTTTGTGTCTTTGATGAAATTTGGTGAAGCTTATGTATCCCTTCTCAGAAGAACCTGCAAGTCACTTAATCCTGTCTGCCTCAGTTTCCTCATCTATAAAATGAGCTGGAGAAGGAAAAGGCAAACCACTCCAACATCTTGGCCAAGAAAACTCCAAATGGGGTCACGAAGAGTCAGGCACAACTGAAGTGACTGAACAACCATCACCACAAAATAGCACTTCAGCAATTGTGTCCTCCCTAACTCTTTTTTTCTCCAGGCTCGTCCCTCCCCCAGTTTCTTCAGCTATGCCAAGGTTCCCAGTCCCCCCACCAATCTGGTCATCCTCCTCTTTTTTTTTTTAAGGCAATTGGGGTTAAGTGACTTGCCCAGGGTCACACGACTAGTAAGTATCAAATGTCTGGTCTGAGACAGGATTTGAACTCAGGTCCTCCTGACTCCAGGCCTGATGCCCTATCCACTGTGCCACCTAGCTGTGATATACTCTTTGGTCTTGATACACTCGTTGGTCAATGTTTCTTCTCAAACATAGACCCTAGAACTGAGCATAATACTTCAGATATGGTGTGGCAAGGCTATTATCTGGAAGCTCTGCAGCCTAGAAATGTATTAGCTTTTTGGGAAGGAGGCT